AATCTGTAGTATTGAATTTCTAATACTCCAGTTCCTTTATATGTTCACTTTTATCAGTGTCGATTTCACAGGTGTAAATATCTATGGAAATGGTAAGAGTATAACAGAAACTGGTCTTGGTGTAGCATGTCATAGATGCTTCCATTCAGTCATCAAGAAACAATTGAGCCAAATGAAATTCTTCACTTTCTCTCATCAGGTGTCAGTCAGTTATGTGCCATGCGTGATACAAGCTTGGGCGATCATGTATCTTTCGATACGTGACTGACGATGCAGATTTTTTTTCCCGCAGTAGGTGTCCATTTCTTTCTGCTGTAGACCAGTTGCAATCCAAGGCTAGGGAAACCGGTCTGTCCTGATATTTACCCATGGCTGGTGGAAAAGAATAGGGTCCATACCTTTCCCAAGGGTATTTATTAGCACGTGAGTGAATGTACTGGATTCGACTAGATTTCGAACTCGGCTCTCCGATCCGCAAACCGAGCGGCATTACTCCACCGTCATTAGATGTAGCTGAGAAATATGATCCAAAAATGTCTGAGCTTTCGACAAATTTAACAGCTTCACTACCTTTCGTATGTCATCATTTTACTTTGAGTTTACTTTCAATACCAATCATACTCTCTACAAAAGACCTTGAAGACGCCTGCAACAAAGCAAGCGTTTTTAAGCAGTATTGTAGACAGTTTCTGTTTGACAAATATTTATGAATTATTATTATTATTATTATTATTATTTTCTTTGATTTCTGGCGTTTACACATTTCTTTCCGGGTCCCGCCCAGGGCCCTAAGGTTAGAAATGGCATCATGACACTTTCCACTGACAAAAAAAAAAAAAAAAAAAAAAAAAATTAAATTACATAGATAAAGCCCTTCGTAATGTGTGGGCTGTACTTGTGAGAACAATTTTTTGTATCACCTTGAGGCATGGACTTCCAGGTATCCCTTTAATTAGTCTACTGCAATCTTTTCCGACCAGTCCTAGGGCTCCAACTACAACAGGGATTGTTGATGTTCCCGTATGCCACATTTTCGAGATTTCTATTTCAAGGTCCTTGTATTTTGACAGCTTTTTGAATATCTTCAAAGATACATTGCAGTCAGCAGGGACTGCCATATCAACAAGGAGGCACCCTTTTTGTTTGTAGTCATTAATAGCAATATCTGGGCGGTTGGCATTGATTGTTCTGTCAGTGTGTATTGTGTAGTCCCATAGAATTGTAACAGGTCCTATCTCCGTAACCGGGTCTGGTTGGTGTTCATACCATTTTCTTTTTAGTTTTCTTGCAGATTTTCCAGTGCAGATATTGGCCCACTCTGTCATGCCTGGTTTTATTATTATTATTATTATTATTATTATTATTATTATTATTATTATTATTATCTTTCTGTTCCTTACGAAATTGGAGTTCTAATCCCATTGGTTTCGTTGCATGCATTTACGAGCAAAGTCTCTTGGGAAATGCATGAATTCATTTCCTATCCAAGATATGGGTTAAAAAGTAGGAGTAGAATCTGCCAAATCCATTGGTAAGGTGAAAGGTTTATTAATGCAAAATTCAATCGCAATTAAAGAATTATTCTAACAATCTAAAATGTATTTCAGCTTAATCAATCCCATATCTATTGACAAGACGTAAAAATAATTCATCCATCAATTAATTAATCAATCAATTAATTCTCTTCAATACAGTCTCCTGGAGGAAGCTATTAAATATATACAACTTGCAATCTGTTTGCAGAAATTCTTATATTAAATGATGTGTGGCATATGCAAATATTATATTTTCATCACAGTGATAAGAGACATTTGGATAGGGATTTCTAAACAGTATTATTGTTTTTAAAGATCACTAGTCTTTTTTATTATTATACTCACTGGTCCAAATATCATTATTCATTACTAACAGGAGAGCCCGGCGTTACCCAGGGATGTAACAGTAAGAGATAGATCAAGTATCGACCATCATAAGGACTGAAAAATAAAATTGACAAAGATTATTGTTTAAGGTTGACGGACACGCATATCTCAATTAGTTTTGTTTTTCTTTTGTTTTTTTGGGTTTTTTTTACGAATTGGTCAAACCCAAACTCAAACAAAAACATTGTTTTCAATCGTTATGAGTCTATCAATTGAACAGAATTTCATTATAAACAATTGTCTTGTAAATGGAATTTTTAAAGCATTCTGAATGTAAAAATAAAGAAAAAAGTGTGCAGGACAATAAGAAACACTAAAAAAAAAGTGAAGTTTTGTTCAAATCGGTTGCAAAATGTAGGAAATCCGATCCCATATATAAACGAACACACACACACAGAAACAACCAGGGTTTCATAATAAGTATAACTCGATATGAGTTGTCCCCCTTTCATTCTGGCGACAGAGTCGTCTTTTCAAATTAATTTCGTACAAAAACAATTGTGTTTTTCCAATTTTCGGCGCTGCCAGAACCACCGCAAGGTAATTTTACGCAGTCCTGTGAAGTTTTGTTGAAATCGGTTGAAAAATGTAGGAAATCCGATCCAATATATAAACGTACACACACACACACACACACACTGCATTTTATAATAAGTAAGGTTATCTTTGCTTTCAGTTATATACTGCTTTCCTTCCGGGTCCCAACCAAAGACCTAAGTTTATAAATGGCATCATGGCATTTTCCACTGCGGATTTGTTAAGAAAAAAGACCAACAAACGCCTACAGATTTTTATGTAGATAAATCATCTTTAAGGCGTGAGCTGTGCTTTTAATTTTTTTTTTTTTTTTTTGTATTTCCTGTCAGTGGTCGTTTCATTGAGTCTATCATAACTTTTCTTTCAGTTAAAGCCCGAGCTCTGACTACAACTAAAATTATTGATGGCCCATATTTTCAATTTTTCATTTCCACTTCGGTATTGTAATTTGACAGATTTGACATATTTCTGATCTTCAAAGCTACATCAGAGTTTGAAGGAATCGTCATGTCAATAAGAGAGGGCATTCTATTTCTGTGATCTTTGATTACAACGTATGTGTATTGTAATTACTGCAACTATTATTGTCGTTGCTGGTGGGTTTGTTGTTGTTGTTGTTAATGGTGTTTTCATTTTGTTGTTGGTCGATTCGTGGTGGAATCAGTTATCAGGACTGTCGAAAAAGTAAAAGAAAAAACAAAAACAAAAAAAAACATGTTTTCATAAGAGCCAGGCGGGGTAAACCCATGTAAATTATTGGTGCGATACAATCTTACTATTCCACCGTTTAATTCTAGCGATTTCTTCTAGAATTATCTAAGCAAATGTAACATTGTTTTATTCTACTGTTTCCAATTGCAGCATGTGGATTAATGTTAGTTACCTCAGGTTTCTTCACTATTGTTCACGCAATACAAAGCATAAGTGCCATTGAGACGTAGAGGGTTACTGATTGAGGTTGTTGCATAAGTGTATGGTGAGGAGTTAAAAATTGCATAATATGAGGTTATGCAATACAGATAATGATTCAAACCGCTTCTATAAGACTATAACGATCAGGGAAGAATCCTCTTGGCAGTCATTTCTTCAGACTGACGTTTCTGTCTCAAATCTCTGATTTTTGAGTCAATCTATGAAAATAAAATAAAAATTAATCGTGTAACATATATTGGTGGCTTTGCACAAATAATATTCTCTTCGTTGTTTTTCTGTGCTATTTCCAATTCGAGGTTGGACGAAGGATCCTACATAGCTTTACGGTCAAATCACGTTGAAACACCGGTTTCTCGTACGATCACCGAAGTTAAGCAGCGGTAGAGCCAGGTCAGTACTTAGATGGGGGACCGCTTGGGAACACCTGGTACTGTAAGCCCCCAAAGTCCAACCCCTTACCTCACAGTCGGTGGGGGTGTAAACGGTAGTGTCAGAGTTATACCCCGGAACTTCGTTCCTGGTAAGAATACCAAGGCGGACAGGTCTGACACACGCGCGGCTAACAAGGGCTCGGTGAAAATCCAAGGAGCGTCTGCATCGGTAACCGGCGGCTTCTGGTCGTTCCTGTCTCTGCGTCTGTGGGAACCCCGCGGCAAGCAAGAACGTTATCCGAGTAGGCCTGGGTGCCCTACTTGTAATTTATCCCAAGAATCTTCTTCTCATAACAGGAAGAAGCCGGCTCAATCCGCCCAGGGTGAATGCCGCATCAGTACAGTACAGTAAGGATCCTACATAGTATTAAGCTAACTGATTCTTTCGACTCCTTCAGAATCTCTCAATGGCTTTCCTTGGTTTTATCTGTAAGAATAATGAAAACGAGTAGTTGTGTTTATATTTATTTCCAATCGCTTTAATGCTATTTTAAAGGGCATTGATCCATATTCTCCATCCCTAGTCTTGGCTGGAAAAGTAGATCAAAGGAGTCGTTCAAACCTTAAGGTCTCTCCGTCTCTTTGAAGCATATCTCTTAATTCAAAACCCGTCTGAAATCAAATGGGAATTATCGGACTTTGACTTACAAATGGCAGCGGCTGTGCTTGCAATCTCCCTGATGTACGAATTATTTTCTCAGTCCGTTGGACATTTTCTTTTTGTTATCTTTTATGGAAAGGCTTCCACAACATTTTATAAATACTTTCATTGTAACTGTCCAGATGAATTTTCCGCTATGTTACGTAGACTGTATTAATTTAAGTGCTGTACTAGATTTACGGTACGTTTTCATCGGTGCACATTTGAATTGTCTACATGCAATCGTTCTATGCTAACAGTTTCTTCTTTCACAATTCCCACTTGTGGAACTCTCTTCCAGCATCTTGCTCTTCAGCCAATGCCAATCATTATCTACAGTCTTCCTGATTTCTCTTCTATTTTTCTCGATCCTTAATAATGTTTCTCTTTTTTTCTTATTCTTTCACGCTTTTGTGATGTTAGGCGTTCACTCTTTGTAACTTCCGTTGGTCAACGAAAGTTCGTTTTTCACTTCCGAAATGTTCGTTGGAGCCGTTAGACTATGTCACAGCAGTGCTTCAAAGAAGACGTGTTCACCCAATAGATAGCCTCTTAGCCAGGGGGTTGCAGATATGCGCCTCGTATAATATCAGTGACAGACCCCAACGGGTGAACAGGTGGGGAAAAAACCGTGTATTGATACCTATGCAAATACTCATCACGTAGAGAATTGGAACACTCTTACATCGACACGAACATGTAGAGAAATTGTCCCGGGTCTAGATTACCTTTTGCAGACGATTATGGCCAATGTCCAGAGTTGAATAAATATACTGGTACTTATGAGAACCTCGGATTTTCATTCCTTATGAAAACGATAAGGTCGCATTAAGTATGCTAGTTCCTTGAGCTGTGTTTAGTAAAATTATTTAGAATCAACATGCTTTAAACTTTGGTACAAGTGACGGAAAATATCGGGTAGTAACTAGGCATGCCGGCTGATATGAATACTTCTATCTCAGCTGTGATCGGTGTAAATGCTTGCGATCAGGCATATGATTAAAATTTGGTCCTTTGAAAAGTTATAGAATTTCTTCCTTCTTGTTCATTTGATTTCTTTTACTTCTTTTTTATGTTCCGTGTCCATTCAGGACGTGGGAAATCATGTTCCCTGTCCTTTGTAGATCTTAGTAAAATATGTCTCTCCTAATAACACATTAAGTATGATATGTGCTGCATATATCTGTCCCCATTACCATCGGTAGATCCTCTGAGTGTCAAATTTTCTAAGACTTCTTTTCCTAGAAATTTCAACTATCTCTTCTGATGCTATGTATGATGATCATTTTTCGGACATTTTAATTAAAACTTTATCATTGTTCACATGTTCTGCCCATAATATTCACAACATCCTTCTGTACAACTACACTGCACGTTTTATAAAGTTTTAAGCAAAAAACTTGACTCGGCACCTACATTTTTGTTTCAAAAGAGATCTGTCCTCTAACCAAAATAAATTATTGTTTTACTATTACTAATCAACTTTACTTTGACGCATCTCTTGCTAAGTATATTTGACGTATTCTATCAACTATATGGTATATGTTCTATTTCCGTGAGAATACAAAGTCTAGTGCGATCAGTGTTGAAATGTCATTCAATGTGTTTTTTGAAACCAGGACATTTCTTCTGTGGAAGTTTTGATTGTATGATATTATTGTGATGTTCTTCTCCACATTTAAACACATTATCTATTATTATGCATGTTCCAATAATTTAATTTCGAATTTTCTGGAGATACTGGATTCTAAAATAATTAACTATTTTTTCTTTGTTATGTGTTTGATATTTTCCCTCCCATTTTCTTTGTTATGTGTTTGATATTTTCCCTCCCATTTTCCTCTGCTGTTTGTTACTTTCTGGTATCAATGTTTTCGACACATTATTGACGTCAGACGGGTGCATATTTTTCCATCTAGAAATACATGGAGTGGTCTCACTTGCTTCAACTAATAACGATATAACATTATTTGATTCCACTATGTTTTGATCAAAATTTACTGGCATCGATTTAGATACCAGTTTATTACTTTATTCTAAATTTAACTTTCCATTTTTAAGGTTTTGGATCATATGTCAGCATTTTTCTTGGTTCATCTGGTCGAAAGTGAGCTCTTGTTTTGGCTATTGTAGTCAGTATAATTACTAGTAGCCCACGATCTGATTCAAATTACGAATTCTATACTCTAATATCTGCCACAAACTGCTAATCCAACAGATTGTTACGTTATCTGAGCTATGACATGTGATGCTTTGTTTCATAGGATGATCAAATGTATTAAGGTTGGAATATCCTTTTGAGTAACAAAAGTTTAGATAGAGTCTTCTATTGCTGTTTGAGATTTCTGTTTGAAAATGTGATGTCTTCTTACCATCGTAGGAGCTCCTACTTTTAAAAATGTTTGAGGTAGTATTAAATTCCTCAGTAATGTTCACTAATACATATTTTTATGTTTTTATTTCTAATATAACTATTTTACTTGGACTAAGATCCGAGCAATATTAGCCAAGAACAAAAATGCCTGCAGTATCAGTCTTTTTATTTTTGTTTTTTTTGTTTTTTTTGTTTTTCTGACTGGTTTATGTTATACTCTGTTACAATATCTGGTGATTTGTGTATTGCAATTCAAACTTATATTGTAATTCCGCTTTGTCGTCATTTCAAAATAATTTGTGTCCTAAATGTGCAATGTAGTCGCAATCAATCGACACGCCTCTTGCATACAGACAACACCCCGGCTGCCTTTCCTGCATTCTTGTAAAAGGAAATGCATCCAGAAATAATTTGATCCTGACGGGACGTTCATTTGTTCTATTTTCCATTTGAAGAATTTCATATGTTTTTGCTGTTTAGATTTTGTAGTCAATGTTTTAGCTGATGTTGATAGGTGAGGTTGCTGACCATTGACTCTAAAATGTCATAAGGAAAGAGCACAACCAAATAACAAGAAAACTTATGAATTGAACTCTTTCAACAGAAGTAGCAAAAAATAGTTATCAAATGTAACTAGAAGAGAAATAAATAATATCAGGATGATGCTTTACGACACTAACGGAAACATATTTTGGAAACAAAATCGAATCTGTGCAAGTAAGATCGATCACAGATACTGGACTTGATGAATCTAATTTACCGATAAAACATTTCTAAGAAAATAATTTGATAAATTTCAACTGTCAGAAACATAAACAGTTTGATGAATAAATGTCGAATATTTCTTATATGCAAACTGCCAATTTAAGCATTACCATTATTATTTCCTTTGTTAAAGACAATCGAATTTGTTATTTTCTGAAAACACCCATCATGCATTTGTATGAACGTGTGTATATTTATTCGAGTTCATTTATATTATCATGCTAATATTTGCTCATGCTTTTTCCATGTAAAGAACAAATACTTTAAGTCCGAAGGATAAATTGTCGTCTAAATTACGCAAAACTGAAAATAACACTGACATCTCATTTAAAAAGTTATATTTACATATCTTGAAATACTAAAAAGTAAATAAAATCACCATAGGTTAACAACGACCTCCAGGCGACTTCAGAATCTCTTGCATCCTTTCTTTGTTTAAGTTGGTGAATAATAATCCTTTCCTTTAGTTCATCTTTGGTGTTACAAGGAGTTTTGTTAATCTCTCGGTCAGCTGGGTTACAAACTGGAAGGTTAGCTGGTCAGATGTAAGGGGTGATGTGGGTGCAGAAATTGTCTGAGAGCCATAACTGGGTACTCCTTCTTGTCTGTTAGCAAACAAAAAAAAAAAGGGTTTCCAGTAGCCCTTTTCTTGACCCATGGAAGCTCTTCCTCCTCAAAGCACTTGATGTAGGTCTCCATGTTGAACCTGTGGGAAGATGAATGGAGGCATAACTTCACCATCACTAGTGGTCACTCAAAACACTTTCATAATCGCCATTAGTCTCATTCAACTCTTTCCGAATCTTCTGCACTGTCTTCCTGTTGACACCCAAGGACTCAAGTGTTCATATTGGAGCTTCCCCTGCGAATGCCAAGCCGTACAGCAATCATTTTCAACTTTCTGGCTGAGAAAATTGCGTCATCGTGCTTTTTATTCCCAGAGACGATGCCCAACTAAACCTACTATACTGATTGTCGACAAAATAAAATAAAAATAAAAAAAGCGCATGCGCGAAATTAAAAATATAAAATGGCGACATCGCACCCTGTATTTCCCTTTAAGGACAAAAAACGTAGATTATCTTAGAATACTGTTTTTTCTACAATAATTAAACCTGTGGATATTATTATTAAATGATGGATTAACTTATGTGGTAGTTTGTCTCGATCAATATTAACCCCGTTGAAGTTCAGCCACTAATGACTCTGGCGGTTTTTTACAGCACACAGTCGCTAGAAAAATTTGGACAACGAACATCGACTCTGTGTGTATCGTGTAAAGAGTCATTATTAATACAAGCTTCTGTTAACTTTTCATTGGTCCACTACTTTGATTCGAGTGAAAATTAAAACCTATTATTCTCGTAACTACTCGCAATTTTAAGAACATTATCTACTGATTAAAAAATTGCGTTTGTAATAATAAAATTGATAGCATTTTCCTTTAAATCATTATTGTATCAAATGCGTGAATTTCCCCTAGTAATAATATCATTGATATGCAAGTTATTTATAAATGACTCTCCATTTTCGAATTCTGGTCGATATCGTTACCTTCATTTTTTGCACATACATTTCCAAACAGTATGATACCATCTCATATTTCACCATTTTTATCAGGGCAGGTTGAACTCTTTAGCCGTAAGTTGGTTACTAGTACAGAAGAAGGACAACATAGAATTCAAAACCGTATGGAGCTCTAGCGGGGGCACATACTTGAATTATAAATGACGTCTATGAGTAGTTAGAGTCTACAGAGTGTCTCTGTGGATATTGAAGAAACACATATCTTGAGCAGACGGGCATCATGGAAACGAACAGCTATGATGAAGGTTGGAAATCATAGTGATTCAGTCGAAACAGTACTGATTGTGATGAAAATTTCGTGTAAGAATTTAATATATTGAATTTTTTTCCCATTTTTCCTTTTATTAATAAACAAAAAATAAATATATTTACCATAGCGTAAAAGAGATTGACTATGGTGTAAACAAAGGAATGCATATTTGAAAATCAAGCAGATACAATAACTTGACAGCATGTGTAGTTTCGAAACAGGCGCTGAAAAGAGTGCATACGTAGTGGAATATCGAATAATAGCTTTAAGAAATTTAGTAAAGTAAGTATGAAGAGATAGGATAATAATTTGATAGGATTCGACATGAAAAGCGTCTTTAAATACTAGAAAGGCTTGATTTACACGGAAAATATATACAAGTAATCCTTAAGATTTCTAGGGGAAAATTATTTTGTGTGAGGACAGAAGACAGATTCAGTGAATAAACAAAAAATAAAGAAGAAATAAGTAACCGATGCTTTTCATCGCCAGATATCTACAATCTATAGATCGAGATGAGGAAAAGGTTGGTTGGCTGATTTTGTTTAGCGACATATCAATGTCTATGACGAAATGTAATTATTTTATACGTAATTTTATACTTTCACGGTGAAGGTATGACTTTTTAGATATATAGTTTGTAAATCATAAAATGTACTGTTGGTTATATAACTATAAGACTGTATTCATATAAATATATATATATATATATATATATATATATATATATATATATATATATATATATATATATATATGTATGTATGTATGTATGTATTAGTGTTGAATTGATTGAATTGATTATTGCTATAAAATGTATTGTTGGTCATTTGATTATAAAAATGTACTGATGATTTGTGTTTGATGATTCACTATTTGCCGATAGCTGAGTACCGAACAGGTGCTTCCACCCCGGGTCAGAGTTAACCAGGGAACAACAGTAGTTTTGAGGTAGTTCCTGCTCCTCAAATCCTGCAATCATCCGATCGAAGGCCTTGATACCAGGTCGAACGAAGAAAAAGGGAATTACACGACTTAGTTTAATTTATTAATATCAGATATAATACGCCGTTAACAATGTCTTTATAGCCGACATACAGCAATCTCTGAGACAAGGTATTAAAAGAATACTAATAAAAAGAATTAACTATGAATAGTAAGCAAAATGAATGCTTGGTATCATTGCAAGTGACAAGTCAAAGGTTTAATCTATTCATTGGAATATTAAAATGAAGCAGGTGCATAAATTTAATTTGGCTATTGCAGAACGACGACAATTTTGCACACAGAAATTGAAAGTCGATAAGGATAGCGAAAGATAACATTCCGAAATTAATCAGTGTTTAGATGACCCCAGAAAAAGAAATAGAAAAAGAGCACTGAACGGTTATGTGATATCGAATCTCCTTTCAAGTTCCAAAAGTGTCTCAACGTCCTTGTGGGTGACGATTATCCACCGTCCAACCTATCTCTCAAAGGCGTGATATGGAGAACCTCTCACTGCTGGATAGGTGCACGAGTGAACTATATTCCTTCCAGGCCTAACTTTCACGGCAAGAACGCACCATACAACTAACATTGTAGCAAACTTCTTACCCTTCGTATTCGGTTGTTGAGAACTCAAGTAGCTTCTTTTAGAGAATTACTGCTCTGTGAAACAAACTTTCAAGAAGAGCTTTGCCCGACCAAAACAATCTTAACCTGTTCAAGTTTAGAGTTAACCGTTATTTTCTACTTCTATCCGTATAAACTGCCCCTTAAGTAACTTTAGTGGTCCCGTGCTTTGTATAAACTTTCCGTAAAAAGAAAGAAAATTATATTAGCAAATTTTTAAAAAAAAGAAGCAATTTTTCATTCTTATTTTACAAAATTTTATTATAGTCTGTTTTTTTCGATATAGAATGATATTAGTTTATCACACATGAAATGAAATATTTTTTGGTTGGATGTTGATCCGTTCATCTAGTGAAGTAACCTTAGTATATAAAAATCTTGACTTAATCATGACAGATTTTCTTTCCAGATAATTTTGCTTTCAATATATTAGAACTCAATAAGTCCAATAAAAGTGATTATAATGAAACAATGACGATTAATCTTACTGTATTTCGAATCGAATCATTGCATGCGATGAGAAATGGATACTCTTTGACAATAGTAATGGAATAGACCAAGACAAGTGAATCACCAAAACATTGCCCAAAACCTCTACTACACTCTAAAATATTAATGGTTACTGTATGGTGGTCTCTCAAAGGAGCTATTCATTATTCATTCTTGCCTTAAAGGAAAACAATAACAACAACCTCCTCTTGTGAAGAAATTAAGTGTATGTACGAAAAATGGAAAAAAGAAATATCCTAGACTTGTTAATAGGAATGGCCGAATTTTTATATAACCAAAGTGATTGGAATTCGAATTTCTCTTTCAGATTTCTTATTCCAAAACTCTATCCATTACAGCAGCCGTACAGCCTTGAGGCAAATGAAATCTGCTTCTACCAACAATTGCTAACCATACAATGGAGAGAAAATATGGACATCGACGAAACATTAAAGAAAATTTTTACAAAAATCATGCCCTTTCATCAGAACAAGACACTTGCTTATTCTGAGACACATAATTTGGTAAAATCGTTTAGAGAATTTAACGCATGCAAATACAGAGTGAAGTTCCTTTGTTTATCTAAACAAAGGAACTTCAAGTGGCATAATGAGTTTGTGTGAATGCATGGTGTTATTGTCCAGGTAAGAACACAAGAGTAGAAATAACGAATGTATATTAGACGAAATAATAATACAAGATGTGGAAGGTGTTAGTATGACTGTCAGTCTGGTTTGGAGTGAACTACTATCGGCTCGACTCGATTCGACCCTCTCTCTTGAGAGGCGTAGTATACATAGTGTTAGGAAGAGTTCATTCTGTAGTTATAGGTAAGGACACTTGGCAGATGGTATAACAAGAACAAAGACATGGTAAAGAATAAAAAATTACTTAAAAGAAGGAAAGGTAGGAAGTCGTGGAGAACCATGATAAGTTCCTAAATCAAGATTCAGCACAAATAAAAAAAGTATACGTTCTGAAATCCTATTAAAAAAAAAAATTACTCCATTCGTAAATCGATCATCAGGTGGTCGTAATTTTGTCACGCGCCATTTTAATCTACTACTTTGGCCTAGCATGTTATGTGAAAGGAAAACGTAATTTTTGTTATCGACTATTTCAGTTCACGTCTGCTTACGTGACAATCATTCCATATCGAGAAAACAATAGTGTTGTATCTTCTGTTTTGATGTTAGCGGCATAAGTTGGTGGAAACATCTGCATCACATTTTTAACGCTTCCTGCCATTATTATTTGAATGAAGCAGGCGCATTTGGCTTTAAAATTGATTAACATATGTTGGGGGAAAGTAGCTGCACATATTTTTTATACAAACTAATAACAAAAAAAAAATAACATGATATACTTTTGTAATTTATGATTAAATAGAGATGGAAATAATAACTATATGAAATACATATTCCTCAATCTCATCTGACGAAGTACGTCATGGCTGGAGTAATCAAAGGTTTTTCATATATTTGATAAAGTGAGTTAACAACAGGGAAACGATTATGTAATTGTTGTGAAGATATTGATCAAGTAACTGCATGTTGAGAAACATGTTGTCAACTATTATACGGAATGTGATCATGATAAATTTGTATATAAATGTTATATGGCGTTTTTTCGTGTCGTGCACGATGAAGGCGATCATTGCTTTCCATACACTTCTATATATCGTAGAGCGTAGCTATTTTTACCCTTTGTCAAGCCTTCCATCCCCTTCTCCGCAACATTTGATATGTGGCCTTCTACTGTCACAATTGTTCTGTGAGTGTCAAATTTTCCAAGCCCTCCTTCCTCATCATTTGTCTAAAAAAATTTAGTTGTCTCTTTCTGATTCTGTGTATAAATTTTATTTTCGTTTTCCATGTTTACTTAATACGTTGCGTAATTTTCTGGGTATGGGAATATTGATGCAATATTCTATATGCATCTATATGCATCTATATGCGCGTAAGCAAGTATGCATCTGTATGTATGCATGTATGTATTTCGACTTGCGACGAGATGTGTCTGAGTTGTTGAACTAAAATTTTATATGAATGTTCACCTAACTATTAACATATTTTATGAACCAGATGTCTGTTATTTAAAGTGATAAAATATATTTTTTAAATGTAACACATTTTTTGAGACGTAATAATGATTTATTTATACAAGCCTTTCTATTTAATACTTATCTCGTGGGGAGACAAGATGGATTCCCCATGGTATTTGCAAGAACATAAATATAACAAATCTGACTACAATTGGAAATTCAGCTGTCTTTCTAATTCCGAGCCGATATCTGTTATATCATATGCACATCCAAGTTTACATAGCATGGTATTTCTAACCAGTCAGTTATCTAGGGACTGAGCAGACTTTTCGTTGGTTGACTTGGGTGATCCTACGAGAACCTGTGTTTCAATGTTTTGAGGGGTCGACAAAAATCATGTGTATATGTATGTATGTATAGATATACACTACATTCGAAAAGCTTATGAGATTATCCCAGTAGTTAAAGTATTTGTTTTGTACTTTAAAATAAATTATGCCGTGTACTTTAAATGAAATTAGTATACATGGCTAAAATATTGAGACAAGAGTTGTTTTAGAAATTTTATTATGACAAAAAATTTTTTTGAATAAATTTTGCTCTCGTCAAAATACCCTTCTTTAGCTTTGATTACTGCAGCAAAGATTTTTGGCATTCGTTGGAAAAGTTTCTCAAACAATAAGTTTGATAATTGATTCCATTCTTTTTTTTAATGACTGTAAGAGCTCCTTTTCATTTTTTTCACTCTTCTGTTAAGTTCATCCCATGCTAATTCTGGGTCTCCAAACGTTTCAATTGTAGTGTAAGTGTGACCACCGTTTCGGTTCTAATCGAAATAACACAGTATTGGACGGGTTATAAGCAACAAAAGCGATTTCTTCACTAAGCATTTTTTTGTGGGGTCGTATCTAGACGTCCCGCAGGATTAAAAAATATGGCTTCTCAAAAAGTAGAGAAGGACTTTCATAGGATTAACAGTAATTGAGCGCATGCGCGAGGCGGTTGAAATACATATTGGTGTCCTGGCACGCAGTAAGCTTAACTGAATTATTAGAGCACTTCATTAAATTATCAAACAAGGAGAAAAAAATACTGATGTATAACAAGCGGCTTGAGAGCATCCAATGATTTTGACTGGTTCTACTTTTCAGACGCATATGTTTTGGTTAGAGACAGGGATTGATCAAATGAAACGTCTTTCTCAAATTGCAAACAAAATCATTCACAGCAAATCAAAAAATGAGTCTTGCAATTATATATTTCAAAGGTCGTACACGACATCGAGGGGCGGCAGGTATCATGTATAGATAGATCTAAATAGATAGATAGATAGATAGGTAGATAGATATATAGAGACAGAGATTGAGATGGGAGTGAAGTCAAATATACAGGTAGATTCGAGTACTCACAAAAAGAAATAGATATATATAGAGAGAGAGACATAGAGTGAGATAGATAGATAGATAGATAGATAGATAGATAGATAGATAGATAGATAGATAGAATTACAACAGCATTAACAACGACAAAAATAACAATAGCCATGAAAAATGGTGAAGTGAAAAAATGAGATGAGGAGATGAATTGAATAAAAACAGAAAATTAAGAAAGGATAATTAAACAAAGAATGAAAGAAGATAGATAGATAGATAGATAGATAGATAGATAGATAGATAGATAGACAGATAGATAGATAGATAGATAGATCATATACAAAACTAAAATTTCATTGAAAACCCAGAGTAAACGATCCCAGATACACAGTGATTTACTTTGAAATAAATATCATTATTTGGTAATAGAAGTGAGTTTCATTTCTTATCTTCAGAATTAATGAGCAACATAAAATGATTCCCCTGGGATTTATAGGAGGACTTGGCAAGTTATGGTTTGCATAGGGCGGGAGATTTTACCAGCAAAGAAAGTAGCACTTAGCTAATAGTCTTTGTTATGGGTTTAATTTTGACTGGTTTCTAGTACAAAAGAATAATAAGAATGTTAACAAATATTTGTAAGTGTAAAAAATATATATATATATATATATATATATATATATATATATATATATATATATATATATATATATATAAACAAAATGATAAAAAAAGGAAAAAAAAAAGATTTTCGCAAAGAGGAAGTGATGAGTTATCGACCTTGAATCAATGAAAATAAAAGCAGAAAATTATGAAGAAAAGGTGTCGGACGAAAGGAGAATTAATAATAAAAATAAATATAAAAGAAAAAAAAAAAACGAGCACAAATTTACCGGAACTGATATGGTAGGTAAAAGCTAAAGTTTAGAACAACATTTTATCTAAATATCAAAACTTTGGACCTGTTGTCCTTTTCACGAAATGTTATGACTTTATACAAAAGGGCGGAATCATTGTTTGTTGCTGTGATTTTAAGTGCAGGGCTTAGTAGAGGCTAAAAACTATATGAAGATTGATCGATTACTTGTTATTCCTTAACATACATACACCTTCCCACCGACATTCGAGTTACGGATACATCACATTGAAACAAAGGTTCCCGTTCGATCACCGAAGTTAAGCAACGTCGTGACTGGTCAATACCAAGGTGAGTGACACCTTGGGAATACCGGGTGCTACAAACTTGGATGTGCAGATGGTGTAATGGATAATGACTTGGAATTGTTCATCAGAAGCCGAGTTATATTCACTCGTGTGCAAATGCTCGTGGGAATGGTGTGAAGTCACTTCTTCTCCTCCATCTATGGGTTAATCCGTACGATCTGTAATACAGATATTTTATCATTTCAAAAGAAAAAATTCTAGCAATCTAAAATATTTTCTAGCTTTAAATAACCTGTTAAGGTATGAGAAAGAGTAGAAACCTCATTAATCGATGATTCTTGCATTCACTATTGCATGTCTAAATACACACGCACACACGCACGCAAACATATATATATATATATATATATATATATATATATATATATATATATAAAGATATATATATAAATATTCATATTCTACGTTACTTAAAAATTGAAAACGAAAAAAAGTAAACAAAATAACAATAAAATAAGCAAAATTAATTAATCCAAACAAATTACCATATCACACCTGTTAGAATAGTTGAAATAGAATAATAATAATAATAATAACAAAAAAACAACGAACCCAAATAAATAAAGTAAATAATAAACAAAGTAGCAAACAATTATGATCAAATTATTAGTTAGACTAAAAAATCAAAAAAAATCGGACGAAAAAATAACTATAACTGTTAAATAACGATAAAAAAAATAAAATAGAAATAAAATAAAAATAAAAAATAAATAAATAAATACTACGTTACTTAAAAATCGAAAAAAGAAAATATACAAGTCAAATAAATTGATCTAAATTCATCCAAGTAAATAAATAAACAAACCAATCCCGATAAAGTTACCGTTAGAAAAAACAAATAAAGATAATCAACCCACACAAAACACAAATTAAAAACTGTTCCTGCCAAAATAATAGAATAAACTACAACAATCAACCCCAAAACCGAACAAATAGCTTTAATTAAATTCTCAAACTAAAACAAAACTATTAAATAAGTAATATAAACAAATTTTTACTACGTTAATAAAAACACCGATTAAAAAATAAAAAATTAAAAAAAAAATAAGAAACAAAAAATAAAAATAAATAAAAACAAGCGAAATTATTTAACCCAAATAAATAAATAAACGACTTCCGTTAAAATAACTGCCACGATAGACTACCCACAATGCACCACTGACCCGTATATATATATAAATAGCCGAGAAAAATAACAGCACACGTGGCCTGACGATTGCATATAATAGCATGAACAGACTGTCGCCTCTAAGTGTTGACTTCTATGTTCACTTATATATATATATATATATATATATATATATATATATATATATATATATATATATATATTGGGGTATGTGTATGTGTGTGTGAGCAGAACCTGCCCCCAAAAATGTATACACACTTCAGGAAAGGAAAACGTTGTATTGATTGATTTATTGAGACACCACTTCCTTAATACAAGCTAATTTTGGAATCAACAATCACAAGAAATGCACAAAATGGTGTCCTTTAGATTCCAGCCATTTATTCATACGGGGATCTACTTCTTATTTAACATTAACCAATGTAATACCATCTGACCTAAATTTATCGTACTAAAGTAAGTGTTATTGTAATTTGATAAAATTAGGAAATAAAAAGTTTTCCTTTTCTGAGGTGTCTGTACATAGTTTTAGGCGAACTCTGTATACACGCGCACACGCACACACAGACATATATATATGTAATACTGGTGAAGTTCGGTCTGTTCCCTTGTATGTCTCGAAAGAGTTTGACATGGTTTGGCATGCTGATCTTTTGCACAAGTTGAATTTTTGATTGATATAAGACTTTTATCAAAGTATGAAATGCAAGTTATCTTGAATGGCCACTCTTCTAGATCTCTGTGCATTAATGCGATTGCTCTACACTTGAACCAACGTTATTTCTAATTTTCATAAACGAATCTCCCGATGGAACCAGTTCTCAGCTCAGTATCTATGCTTATGAAAGCTATTCAACCTATCTTAATTGTACATCTGATCGGTTTCAAAATGTCAAATTGGAAGCTGACCTGACAAATGACATTACAGTTTCTTATTAACTGGGGTAAGAAATGGCTTGTTAATATTAACGCGTCCAAAACGAAGCTGCTCCCTTTTGATCGACTTAGAGAACATGTTTTTCCTACGTCAGCATGTGTGATGCTAACATCCAAGAGAGTGACACATTGCGCCTTTTAAAGCCCAGGTTTTCTGAAGAGATGTCGTGGAAATATACTGAATCAATTGCTAGGTCTCTTGCTAAGAAATTTGGTTTACTGTGAGAAGAAGAAAAAGAAAGTTAGAAAAGAATCAACGGAAGTATTGGTGTTACTTCTATATTTTACGTATTTCTTTCTTTTTCAGTTGGTAATCTTCTGTGTGAGATCGCCCTTCAACACATATACAGTCTTGGCTCTCCTCAAACACGTATCCTTTGTAGCTTTTCTCAAAGTTTTTATCTTTCCCATCCCTCCAGCGCCCTTTCGATCATCCATTTATACAAGCTCATCTGGAATGTGCCCATCGGTTTTTCCTGTCACATTTGCCTTCAATAGATCTTTTGACTGAGTAATTCTCCAGCCCCCTTTCTAATTATGCTTAACTTTCACCTGTCTTTTCCTGATTTTGAGTATAAGTGTCCTTCTATTTACATTATTCGGACTATTGTCCTCATCTTTGTCGCCATATTTATTACATCGTTTCGGCTGTTGTACGCTCCAGCCTTCTTCAGGTGGTTGGAATGTCGAACTGAACTATTTATTTCGCTCACTGGGGTAGGCTGTTCTAGTTTCATGTGCCATTTTTAATGGATGTCAGTTGTCAGTTATCTCTTGTTAATTCCACTCTCCAAGTTCTCCACTGCCATAACCGGGTATTGAACTCACACTCTTTGGGTTCTGTCACTGGATCTAACTAAGGCATTTATCCACTGTGCCATGTGTCGTTGAAATTGTCCTTCGTGTTTCGGTTATCTTTATTTCTTCGTTGGTTACCTGCTCGTTCCATGTTATTCGGAACGTCCGTCCATGAAACATTTCTGTTAACTGAACTCTCTTCTTCATCTGTGAGGTAATTATTATCTATTATTCGATACAATATCGGAAGATTGAGATTACATTGTAGATGAGCATTTTTGTCTTTGTTTCTAAAGAAATCTTCCTGTTTCTTAGTACTTTATTTAGTTTTTGGGCGGCATCTTTTGCTATTCGATTACTGGTTCGAATTAAAGCGCAATTTGTCAACTAGCTCTCACTCATTATTTTACAGTTGAAATTGATTTCTATTGTAACTTTTGAATTTGAATTATAGTAAATAAAAGACAAAATGGAAAACTGTTGTGACGCATTTCGTCCAGAAAAGAATATCTTCAAACAAAACAAAGGCGTTACTAATGAAAATGGCTAAAAATCATTTGGACAACTGCTCCATGCCCAATACATAGGAGTAATGGATAGCGATTCGGATTGAGGAGTCGGTATACCGAGTTCGAATTCCAGTCGAATCCATTTACCTTAGGAAAGGTATGAATCCTCTTCTTTCTCCCCTCAGGTATTGGTAGATAACAGGGCAGACCTGGCTCTATAGCATTGGATGACAACTGGTCTAGCGCAGAAAGAAATGGCAGACTACTGCGGGTAAAATCTGCCTCATCATTCAAGTATCGAAAAATACATGATCGCATAAGCGTTTATCACGCATGGTACATAAATAAAGAATACGATTATTCGCCTATACCCAGTTATAATCATCTTTTTCCTTTTTTCAATGTTTTTCTTTTTTTGCAAGTTAAAATCATTTTAATGACAGCATTATTTCTAGATCTTTTTTTTTAGTTGGTCGTATATATGTATACAAAAAATACGAATAAACACAGCATTTGATTACTATAAAGATAAACAGATTTAAATCAATATTTTGAAACATCTACACGTATGTTTGTATCTAGACTTCAGTCACTTTCTCGGAGACTTGATGTGCTTTTTCTCTGTCTTTTCTACAAATATTTTCATAGCATAAATATAAGCGTGCTATTAGACTGGAATCTAGGTCCCACCATTTTTCCATCGAAATAGTTAAATATAACCGCCACTTCTACTGTAAAGCTTCTTTTCTTGCTCGTGGAACTCACTTCCGTTTACATGCTTCCCTGATAACTACAATCTTCAAAAATTTAAATGCAACGTCAGTCGCTATCTTCTGATTTATTGAGCCTCGTTCATATTTTATGCTTACCTCATTCCCACTATACACAGATTTTTTCTCTCGATTTCAATCTATGTAACCTCTGTCGAACTTGTGGCACTCCCGCCTCGCTTAGAGTAAAATGCTTAAAAAACGTAACAAAAAAAGTTTTTTAAAGTGAAAAAGAAATGCATAAAAGTAATATATCAATTTATTTATAAACCGATCTCAATCCAAACCTATAAGAATATGATATGTGTCAGAAAACATTCCCGTTGACAAAACGATGGTTTTCTGAAGAACTGTACCATTTGCCCATCTGGCTAAACGCAATCTCTGTTAATTCGCATTTATAATTAATATTTCCACGGTGTATTCTGTTTTGTAGCAATTTGGAAACATCTAACTGGCAGAATTCCTTCGGTGTCTTTTTGAGTTCTTCTCGTATTTACGTATAGATAGACATACAGATAAGTAGATCATTTGATCGAGAGATCACATAGTTTAAATCAATATTTCCGGGCATCTGTGTATAGGTTGTTAAACATTTTCTTTAAATGTTTAATATAGGAATGTAAGTGAGAAATGTTAATTTTGCTATAGTCTGGTTTCAATTCAAAGTAGTATGAAATGAGCCCGCAAGGAAAATATTTCAAATGGTTTTTAATCATTGCAATAATGTGTTCTAATGTAACACTTTATAACAGATAAATATTTACGTCTCTACATTTGTATTGAGCCCGGTTTTAAATTAATGATTTGAATGCTGAAATCTTACTCTTCGTTATTTTACATATATATATATATATATATATATATATATATA